CAATTTTGACCCAAAGAATTTTTTTATTAATGCATTAGGCTAAATTATTTCATACACATCGTTATAAACTGTGAACGATACATCTTTTTAAATGAATGAGGTTAAATTTCAAATTAATCAATTTCAGAACAGGTTTCTGGATGGTTTCCGTATTGTTGAGAATAAACGAGTTTGAATGAGAAAATCTCCTCCGTCTCTGATTAATTTCATGAATACTGAAAGTACATTTAAATGGTGATACTTTTGACTTTCAATCATTGTTTTTATATAGCTAAGAAATAAAAAAATGATAAAAATACCCATTTTAACTTAAATTTCTATGTAGCTACCTTTTACATGTGATTACAAAGGAAATTGACATTGGAAGAGAATATTCAAATAAAGCTATGTTAAGGATTTAGAGCATTTAAGTATAGATTGGTGTAGCTCTGATGTGTGTGTTGAAGGTAGAATGAACTGACTCCATTGACAAACTGCATTTGACTGCGGCTATGAGGCCTACAGTGACGAGAACACCAGGTCTCTGTTTTGTTGACACAGTGATCAAGCCAAGATCAATCTGCCTCTGAAAGGAAAATTTAATCATGCTGTTCGGCTGTCGTTGTCTCTGTCTGGCCTAATCAGCAGCCATTTTACCTTCACCCACAGCATGCCATAGAGCAAAGTCCAGCTCTTTATCTGCCTCTAACCTGCACACTATGAATGCTCCCTGTGACACACACTCTCTCTCTCTCTTTCCCGCTCTTGTTTATGTTCTTTTGCTGGCTCAGTTTCCTCACCGAAACCTGTTGTAGACAGCCAGCCAGCCAATGGAGAGACAGTGACTTCTGCTCAAAATAGTTTATGGATTGTTTGAAGTTAAAATACACTGAAAATCTTGTAGTTTGGAGTGAATTAATAGACATTGAGGCATGCAATACACCAATGGGTTTTTCAAAGACTGACTCTAAAAGTTTTACATTTTGGTCCCACCCACCTTGATTATTTGGTTTCATTCCTGATTAGATGTCCTGCACATATAAACAACAACAGTTCACTCAAAACCACATCGGACATTCATAATAATCAAGTCACTTTCCATTTCAGAGAAGAAGAAAAAAACATTGTACTGATATGCAAAGGCTTCAAATGAATGTCACTCTGACAGCCTTTTAATGACTAATATGCAAATGGCGCATTTATCATCATAAATGACTCAAACTGCACTCATAAAGAGAGAGAGAGAAGAAAAGAAAGTCTAAATCCATCCGCCTCAGGCACACCTTGAAAAAACCTGACACCTAAGCAATGGCCTGTGGCATGAACAGGGTGGTGTTCGCTGAGCACGTCTTTAAAGAAAGTCAACAAAAGCTCACCCCTCCTACAGGATACAGTTAAGGATGCTGTGCTTGTCGTTTGCATAAAGCACATCTTCTGGGACAGCCAAGTGTGTATTTTAGATCACCTTTTCCTCATATTCTTCTCTCCGTGTCAGTTTTCTCGTTTAGCCCTCGTAACCGTTTTGCACGGGTTAAAAAGTGGCAAACAGGATAGAGATGATCAGAAACGTGGCAAGACTGAGGAAGCAATAGAGATAAAAGTGATTTTATACATGAATGTTTCTTATCAGCGTCTGGTGTCCTATCAGCAGAATATGGCTCATAACAGCCAGGATTAATACTGCAAGAACGGAAGTTATTACTCACCTTCACGCTGTCCGGTAAAAGGCCAACGTCACAAGTGTGATGTTTTTCCATCCACTGTGTAGCACCTGTCGCACTTTAGGAACACTATTAGGCCTAACAAGATTCAACTCATTTCTAAAGTCAGTTTAATGTCATTTAAGTTACACTGACTTGAACATCCAAGTTGATTGTACTTAAAAATGTAGGGCTTCTTTTTTGTACAGTGTAGGCTACCTACTCAAATAAGTAGGCCTACTGAGTAATATTAATTAGGTACATGTTCTTACTATACAGTTAGGGTTTGGTTTAGGGTTAGTATACTTGTACATAATTTACTTTTGTTACTATAGAAAGTACATAATGTGTAACTATGTCACGTTAAAACAAATGTTACCGAAGTAATTATGAAATTAAAGAAGTCCCACTTAAGTCTTAATGTCCCAGTGTTGACTTAAACTGCATGGACAAAAACAGTTCTTCACAAATATCTTCTTTGGTTTTCTGGAGAAACAAGAAAGGCATACAGGTTTGGAACAACATTAGAGTATATTTTGCGGTGAACTATTCCATTAAGATTGAAATAATCAAAGATCTTAATTAGGTCACAAGGGAAAAGGTACATTCCAGTTTAGCCATGATGGGAAGGGCCCTCTGTTACTTGTCCCTAATTTGCCATTGTGTCACTGTGGAAACCATATCAGTGGCGTATTGGCGTATCTTATCAGGCTGGTGGCCCAGCAGCAAGGTCCCTTTGTGTTTCTCATGAAGAAATAGCTACTATAGATTCCCACCAGGAGACCCAGGGCAGAGTCTACTTTACATTTTCTCTTTTTCTCCAGCCCCGTCTATCTTTCATCCTTCCCTCACTTTTGCATGTGATCCGCTCTGCCTTTGAAAAAGCTCTCCAGAGTGACGCGACGAGAGAGAATGGTTTCACAGCTCTCTGTGATAAAGCGGAAAAAACACTGAGCTGAACCGCGTGGCTTGAGTTCTGCTCGCCACCAGACTCAGACGACGAAAACAGACAGGGTGGGATATTTCACACCAAAATAAGAAAGAACACGATAAAATACACGTTTAAAATCATTATGAAAACTTTTTTGGTTCTTGAGGTATAGATGATTTATTATTACCGGATGTTCTTGGGACAATAAAACATGATAGGGCTATTATCCTGGCAGATGGAATATGTCTGCTACATGGTTATTATATTGCTTGTGCTCATTTTACAGTAAGGGTCTTCAAAATGTCACTCTTCAGATTGTGATTGTTTTATTTAGACATACAGTGGGATCCAAAACGCTTCTGTTTTTCAGGGTTTACATTACAACTCATTGCAACTCATATTATCAGCACTGAAGCAGTGAAGTTTAGTCAAACCTGATGATCATGTTACTTGATCTCAAATGTTAAAATGGGGCAATTGCAATTCTGTATTATTCTCCAGTTCTGCAATGATCATATTGTCAGACACACATTTTGGATTAAGCCTATAGTCTCAGACTAAAATGCTTGTTTGAGCTGTTTTAACTGAAAGCAACTTGCACTGACATATTTTAAAATATGTCTCAAGATTCACATCAGTAATGTTTTTTTTTTTTCTAAAGCATAAAAGCTACTTAAAGTCCTAATTAAACTAAGGCCTAATCCTGGCTTAATCTAAGCCCTGTCTGTGAAACCGGGCCATAAAGGTACAACTACCTTAAAAGGTGCATATCAGTACATTAGTGTAGTAATATGTACCTTAAGGAACTACTATGAACCTTTTAGGGGTAAATGCAAATCTTTTTTCTGGCATTTTAAGACATCATAAAAACGACGAAAACTTATAAAACGGCTCTGTCCATAAGAGTCAGTGTACAAGCTGTTCTAAAATACAACCAATTTAGATTCATCAATGCATAATATTTTTTATATTTTCCTTTAATAAATATCCAAACATTTTCAAATAGTGTCACATTTATATTTTAGGAATATGTATGTTTAAAATAACGCCAAAGCATATGTGAGAAGTTTGTTTTTAATAAGGAGAGAACATAACAAACATTAAGAACATACCATGAAACGATCAACCAAATAAAGCAATATATATATATATTAAGACACTTATCTTTTAAGCCCAACGGCCAAAAAGCTGGGTTTAAATAAAACTAAACAGTACAAGAACATCAATTCTGACCTGCTTTCTTACAAAATTCAAAAAGACTTGCAAGAATTTTGTTTATGATATGATGGCTTGAGACAATGGTTTTATTATTAAAACTGCTTTCAAATCTCTGAAGGAGATTTTTAAATGACGAGATCTTACAAAAATACATCATGGCGATTTCACTAGGGTCTGTATGATTTGCTGATAAAAAGGTCGTTACAAAGCATTTTTGTAACAAAACAGTCCCACCCCTCCCCAACAGTGAAGAACAGAGAGGTCACTAGTGCAAAGTATTGTATGGAAATGGCCCTTAGTGCATTGTCTGCTGATCTGAGTAAGAGCCGAAGCTGAGCTGAGCTGAGCAGAACATGTGGCACACTGGAATAACAGTGAAAGGTCTTTGACATCTTTTTCGTGAACGTCATTGCCAGAATTTCAAAAAATAAAAAAGGGAAGTCTGGAAAACAAATAGCTGGATTTACCACAGTTTAATCCATCTTTGTCAAACTTTTATATATATATATAACACACAATTCTTCTGAATATACAAAATGACTTCATGGCCAAGAGTAAAAAAAAGTAATTCTTCAGCTTCTCTAAGGGACAAGCATAACGATACACACTCTCCTTACACGCGCGTGCACTGTGTGTTAGTGCGCGCCGCTTCAAATGAACATGCGTTATGCTGTAACACAAAACAGGAGAGTTTCCCTGTAACACAGTAACACCTGCTCACAGCAGTAACCTGAACTCAAACGCTTCCGCAATCATGCTCACGTCCTCTTATCGTCACATTGTTTACGTAACTGCACAACACAAAATCATACAAGATATATTAAATTCTTCCCTTCATAAATAAATGCCTGACTCCTGCTTCCCCAAAAACAGTATATACACATGGCATCATTTCTATACATCTTCCGTGTTACATCCGAAAACCAAAATGTTGAGTTTCTGAATATATGTTAGTTAAATTAGTTTCTGTAAAGTAGCATTGGAACTCGTCCCTTGGTTCTGGTGAAAGCATTTCACTCTTAAAAATAAAGGTTCTTTATTGGCATCTATGGTTCCATTAAGAACCCTCGACATCCATGGAACCCTTTCATTGCACAAAAGGTTCTTTCTTCACGCTAAGAAAAAAAAAGGGTACTTTTTAAGAAATGTTCACTGAAAGGTTCTTCGGGGAGCCGAAGATGTTTCTTATATGGATTCACTGCTAACCCCTCGTTTTGAAACCTTTATTTTTAAGAGTGCCGGAAACGTAGTTACTGATGGCAAAGCAAGCTCTTGAAGTTGAAGATGTCCTGCCATTAAGAGTCTGTGGAGTTCAAACGGCTGGTCAGCACATTAGGATGCGTTGAGGACAGACCTGCTGTAGAGGGTCTGGTAATACGCACCAGAGTCAATGGCGGACGGACCAGCGCTGTCATAGATCTGTTTGGCGGCCATGGGAGAAGATGTGGTGTAGCTGTTGTAAGCCATCACCTGGTCCTGGTACGACTTGAGGTCCATCTTCTGCTCGTTGGACATGAGATTGGTGATGGAGAACGGATGGTTGAAATTGTAGTGTGGGTCCATGGACTTCAGGGTGTCGTTCTGCAGGTCCAGGTGTTGCATCGGGCTGCCCAACAGGTGAGGGCTGCCGCCCATGCCCTGAGAGTGCAGGTGTGAGGCGGACGGGGGCATTGAGGAGGACACCGAAGACGGGATTGGCACTGGCGAGGTGTGTGAAAGGCTGGGTGCTTGAGACGGGCAGTCCATCTGCACCAGGCTCCTCTGCTGCTCCTCCGAGGCTGATCCGGCATGGGAGCTGTCGGAGTGGGCCGAGTCGGCACCTTCGGAGCCGGTGGCGGGACTGTGCTCCTCCTGCATGCCCTCACCGCTGTGCCCGCCCTTGCCACCGCCCTCCTGGGATTTCGTAGAGCTCTTCTTCCCAGACTTTTCCTCGATCTTGAAGCGCTTCTGCCGACGCAGGTAGCAGCCGTTCTCGAACATGTTCCCGGAATTGGGGTGCAGCGCCCAGTAGGAGCCCTTGCCGGGCTTGTCGGGCGAACGTGCCACTTTGACGAAGCAGTCGTTGAAGGACAGAGAGTGGCGGATGGAGTTCTGCCAGCGCTGCTGGTTCTCGCGGTAGTACGGGAACAGATCCATGATCCACTGGTAGATTTCGTTGAGGGTTAGCATCTTGCTGTTGGACTGCTGGATCGCCATCGTGATGAGGGATATGTAGGAGTACGGTGGCTTGGCGTGGGTTAGAGAGCGACGGTAGGGCTTTGGCATCTCCTTAGTCCGGTTAAGAGAGGTAGGAGAGGGGTAGCTGATCTGGGACATAGGCTGGCCCATGCTTTGGTAATGCGAGAGGGGACCCAGCGAGGAGGCAGAAGAGCCCAGCTGGGTCAGAGAACTGGGGTTCAGAGAGGAGCCTACAGGGGACAGGCTCATGTGGTTGGGGCCTCCACCCATGCTGGCCAATGGGCTGCTGTTGAGACCTGAGCTGGGATAGCCCATATTCATGCTGGATGCGGAACAGGCCGAGTTCAGATTTATGTAGCTGTTCAAGCTGCTCACTGAGTTCATGGCGCTCGGAGAGGAATACATCTAAAAGAAAATAACACATGACATTAATGTTTCGCCCTCAACAATAAAGAAACTATAAAACAAAATCTAACAGTTTATAAACACACACACAAAATTAGAATATAACAGTTTTTTCACCTAAGGCTTATAGGCCTATCATATAAAGTTATTGCCAAACTACAATATAGCCTAACTTTGTTATATTCCAAGTTTCTGTTATTACAAAATAATTTGTATACAATTATTAAAGTGTAGTGTAATTTAAGTGTTTTATAATGAATATTTAATTTATATGTATTTATTTCTACAATATAAAACGAATTTTCAGTTAAAATAGGACTATTGTGCGATTTTAACCGTCGGTGTATTTAAAATTCTTCAGCAATCTTAGAACGAGTCTCAAAAATAGAATTACATACAAAGAAATACTAAATTAAAAAAAAAAAACTATTATAATTACATTTGTGGCGCAGGGTTCGTGCTCACAAAATAGTTTTGGCCAGCAATAACACAAATTTGAATGTAAAAACGCAAATGGAGAACGGAGAATTTACATTTTAAATGAATGCTGCTTTATGAATAAACAGTTATCTATTTTACTTTCTAGCCTATTGGTTCCACTGGCATGTAAAACGAGTGCACGAGAATGCATGGTAAAATTAAAATCGAAATCAAATCGAAAGCTAAATGACGACTCTTAAAAATAGCCTAATATAGCCTAATTTATTCAATCAATAAAATGATAGTAACATGCGAACAGTACATCGTTATAGATCATTTTATTAAATGTTTAAATGTAACATGTTATTTCGAATTCTATCTATCTATCTATCTATCTATCTATCTATCTATCTATCTATCTATCTATCTATCTATCTATCTATCTATCTATCTATCTATCTATCTATCTATCTATCTATCTATCTAATTATTGTATATAAAAAATACATTTTATTAACTAAATAAAAGAAAATTTAAGATTTTCCAGAACTTACTTCGCTTGCCTCGCTGTAGAAAGGATTCCATTCCGGAATTTCATGTGATTCCATCTTCACGGAGCTCAACATCCCCAAATAAAGTTGTAACTCGTAAGAAAGTGATCGGACACTAACCGTGTATTAAATTGTCCTTCAGTTTTGTTGTTCTCAGCGATTTTGTTAAAAAAGAAAAGAAAAGAAAAGAAAAACGTCCCACAAGACGACACACTTTGTAATTCCACGTAATATTACAGCACGAACTGTAATACAAAGTTTAATAAAGTTATGCTCGTCTGTTGTCTTCAGTCCCGTGGAGCAATCAGATGGTTTCTCATGATTGGGTAACTTAGTTCACTCAGTATTTTTTTGTGGCAGGACCCGTAAACATTTTCAAGTAATCCTGAGAAGTCCAATCGAGAAGCTGTCGTGGAGTCTGTCAGGTCTCTGTGGTGAGTCCCGTAGAAAAGCCTCACCTCAGGCTTTAAACACGCGCAGGTGAGGGAGGGGCCGCGCCACGGGCCCCGGGACTCAGGAAGACTCCCTAAAGGTCTCTCTTGCCCCCTGCTGTTCTGTATATTGGCCAGCCGACACATCCATCTCAATTGTCATCCCAGACAACTTCAGGCCTAGAAAGAAAATGAATAGAAAGAAATGTAGAAGATTTCGGGCCTCTATAACTTAAAGAAGGATGGGCTTAATATAGAATGTTTGATAGATAGATAGATAGATAGATAGATAGATAGATAGATAGATAGATAGATAGATAGATAGATAGATAGATAGATAGATAGATAGATAGATAGATAGATAGATAGATAGATAGATAGATAGATAGATAGATAGATAGATAGATATGAAACATTTGATGAGATAGATAGATAGATAGATAGATAGATAGATAGATAGATAGATAGATAGATAGATAGATAGATAGATAGATAGATAGATAGATAGATAGATAGATAGATAGATAGATAGATTTTTTTTCTTTCATGACCGATGACATATAGTCTTGTTTTTGATTTGTCGCTCATTTGATTCCGTCATCAGTGATGTGTTCAGGGTGGTTTAAGCTCGTCAGGGTTTAAACTCATCACGGCGGGGTTCCACATCAGTAATCTGAGGTGCCAATTTTAAAAGTTGTTAAATCCCCTCGGCTATCACTTTCACGTCGGTCACATTATAAGCGAAGGACGATGATTAATTCTCCAGATTTAAAAAGATGATCTCATGCCGTCTTTTCTCAAACCCGAGGAAATGCACGTTCGTTTAGTGTAGAACTAAAGCAAAATACAAGACAATCAAAATATACTCATTTGATTGTAAAGGTTTGTACAGAATGAAATTCGAAAATACACTCTTAAAACAGAAATGCATTTTTTGTTCCCCAAAGACCCTTTCAGTGAATAGTTCTTAAAACAACCGTTTTAGCCTATTAGTGTGAAGGACATTTTTTAGGCTAATCTACAGAACTCTTTTACACTATAAAGAACCTTTTATGCGATGGAAAGGTTCCATGGATGTTGAAGGTTCTTTATGGAACCATCGATGCCAATAAAGAAAGCTTTATTTTTAGCGACCTTTATTAAACAAAATGAACATCAAATGAACAAAGATACATTTGTAATTAAATTTAATTGTAGGCTATATTACATTGTATGTAATTGATGTAATTAAAACGAAAATATACAGGAAATTGAGTATTTGTAGCATAATGCGACAAAAATATTTTCGTTTTAATTACAAATGTATCTTTGTTAATTTGATCTTATTGGCTATCCCAGATAGCAGGGAAAGTTGGCTAACATTCCCTAAGTTTGGTTAATGTTTTAAAGAAAACATTTGAAATTAATGTTCAAAGAATGTTTTATGAATGTTTTCTCATTTCAAATAATGTAATAAGGTTAAATATTAACTAAGATATAACGTTTTAACTGTAACATTTTGAGGATGTTTTGGGAATGTTGTTGAGATAACAGATTATACAGTGTTCTCAAGAAAACATGTTCCATAATAACAAAGGAGGAACATTATCAAATGAACGTTCGCAAAATGTTTTGAGGATATATATCATTGAGGCCTGAGATGACGGAATGTATTTTATAAAACGTTCTTGTAATGTGACGTGTCAACAAAACTAGAACATTTTAAAAAATGTAACATTTTGATTATGTTTTTAGAGAATGTTATCCTACCTTTTAGGAGAACATTCTGGGAACAAAAATAAAACTACCCGCTGAAAACACTGCATGGTTGTTCTCAGAACATTTTTAGAACAAAAAAATTCTAGCTGGGATTATATTATTTTTAATTAGCCTCTATTTGGACATTTTTATTTTATTTCAAGCGAATCGCTTTTGTTTGCGAGTTTAGCCTTCATTTTCCTGGACAAAAGCAGATTGGAATTTTGAAGTATTTCCATAAATTTTCACTGTGAACATCTGTGAACTTTTCCTGGCTTGAAATGACCCGTGAAGATGCGACTGTATATGTGAATACACATCTGTTGTTAGGCGCAGACAGGAACATCACAATGTCAATGCATTTCCTAATGGCTAATGAATGGAGATGTAATTGATCAATTGGCGGGGGGTCGACAGGATTAGGAGAGACCTGACCCCCAAAATGCAGTTTATGAGATGTTCCCACAACAGTTGTCTATGTCAATCTAAAAGAGTTATTAGCTATAACTAGAATTAATCACAGCATGTCTTTCTTGATTGGCCAGTTAATTTCATGATCGCTTGTACCAAACCAGATGGGACTTTCGACAGAGAAATTTCAGCAAATGTTTAGCCTACCTGTGGGTGCACATGATCAAGAATAATAATAATAATAACGTTGTAAAGAACTTGCAGGCTGGTCTATCCAGTGTTTGGCACGCTTAGGATGGTGTATTGGCGAACACACATCTGAACATCCTCCTGCTGTCTCTGCGCTTCTCATGCAATGCAGCGGCGCATCGTTCATTAACACCTCTATAATTGGATAACAATAGTCTTAATGGGTGACGCTAATGGAGGAAGTAGAATATTAGAAACGTGTCTTAGGGCTTTTGAGGAGCCAAACAGCAGTGAGTCATTAATGATAGTCTAACTGGTGAAAATACGAAGACATTCACATGGAAGCCTTCAGATGACAAGCAGACTTCAGACTGGGAGCTTCCACCCTAAAATGTAGTAGAAAAAATACAAAAAAGTCCTTCACGGACAATATCAATATGTGTATTTATCTTAAAAAGGCCTATGTATTGTAGGCTGTAAGTGTACACTGATAAAAAGGATTTTGTGGTGAAGTAGCCTAAATACTACAGAAAAAAAACAGTGTAATTTGCATGAAAAGGTTAGTAATAATAAAAAAAACGAAGTAAATTCTATATTAGAACTCAATTAAAGCGTGTAGAAATGAAAGCGTAAATATCAACGTTATAAAATTAAGTAAAATTGCTCAACTTTTCTGACACTGGTGTTGGGGGGGGGGGGGTCTTTTATGTGACTAATATTCAGAAGACTGAACAATCGTTTTTTTCTGAAATAAAAAAAATCCACTGACCACCCTTACAAAAAGTTTATTCAAGTGTGAATAAACTAAAAATAAGTAGGCCTAGCCTATTTGTTCAGTCAACTTTTTAATGTAGCCTATATTACTCCGAAATATAGCCTAAAAATACAGTACAGGCCTACTTGACTTATCCTGACAGAAACGTCTAAGTAGCCTACATTTGGCCTACAGGCCTACTTGTACACATTCTTTTGATCGAGATGTACTTTAAAGTAATTATTCTAAGTGGAGGTGTGTTGTTTACTCTTTTGATTTACATACTGTCTTATAAACTTACATTGTTTGAAAATATTGATTTCTAAAGAATATATTCCTAATTCTGAGTAGGCTATGTGAATTTTATGTGAAATTATGTGAAAGTAGTGTAGGCCTACATAGAAATTTACTTCAAATACTTAAAGTACAGTTAAAGGTATATTTAAAGTGTAAAAATGAATAGGCCCTACCCAAATAGGAACAAAGTACTTTTGCACACGCACACACACACACACACACACACACACACACACATATATATATATACAATATTTCACAAAAGTGAGTACACCCTTCACATTTCAGCAATTATTTTAGTATATCTTCTCAATGGACAATACTATGGAAATAAAAATTGCATATATTTTAGAGTAGTCAATGTGCTGCTTGTATAGCAGTATATACTATATTTACTGTCCTCTGAAAATAACTCAACATACAGCCATTATTGTCAAAATAGCTGGCAACAAATCTTCTGTAGGTCATTTAACCAAGCAAAGCCACATGTCCTCATGTTAATGTTTTTGTCTGCTTGACAGGACCATACAAATTTGTGTATCTTGTATTAGAGCAGTTAAAATTTGTGCTTTGAGTATACAATTCTCTCATACTGACCTCTGGATGTTCATCTCATGGCAAAGAACTGTCGAAGGATTTGAGAATTAGAATTGTTGCTCTCCACAGATGGCCTAGGCTATCCGAAGACAGTACAGGCCAGGGTCATACAAGACTTGATCCACTCGTAACTAAGTAGAAGTTGAGTCAGGTGCAGAAGCTGACTTCATAAACAGACGCATGAGTCCTGCCAGCATTGCTTTAGAGGTTGCAGAAGAGGAAGGTCAGCTTGTCAGTGCTCAGACCATACGTCGCACACTGCAACAAGTTTGCATGGCCGTCGTCCCAGAAGGGGACGTCTTCTGAAGCCGGCTCACAAGAAAGCCCCCAAACGGTTTGCTGAAAGCAACCTGTCCAAGAGCATGAATTACCGGAACCATGTCCTGTGGCCTGATGAGACTAAGATGAACTTGTGTGGCTCAGATGGTGTCCAGCATGTGTGGAGATGCCCTGGTGAGGAGTACCAAGAAAATTATGTCATGACAGTTGAGCATGGTGGTGGGAGCATCATGGTCTGGGGCTGCACGAGTGCACTGGTACTGGGGAGCTGTGCTTCATTGAGGGAAACATGGATTCCAACATGTACTGCGACATTCTGAAGCAGAACATGATGCCCTCCCTTCAGAAACTGTGCCGAACGGCATGATAACGACCCTAAACACACCGCCTTGCAGAGGAAGGTGAAGGTGAAGGTGATGGAGTGGCCAAGTATGTCTCCAGACCTGAACCCTGTTGAGCACCTGTGGTGATCCTCAAGCGGAAGGTGGAGAGGCGCCATGTGTCTAACATCCAGCAGCTCCGTGATGTCATTATGGAGTGGAAGAGGATCCCAGCAACAACCTGTGCAGATCCGGTGATCTCCATGCCTATAAAGCAGTGCCAGATAACAATGGTGCACTGCTCACACAAAATATTGACACTTTGGACACAGTTTTGACTTAGGGTGTACTCACCCAGCTATTTTGACAATAATGGCTGTATGTTGAGTTATTTTCAGAGGACAGTAAATATATACTGCTATACAAGCAGCACATTGACTACTCTAAAATATATCTAAGTTTCTTTTCTATAGTATTGTCCCTTGAGAAGATATACTAAAATATTTGCTGAAATGTGAGGGGTGTACTTACTTTTGTGAGACACATTATATATATATATATATATATGAGTGTGTGTGTGTGCGCGTGTGTGTTTAGTAAGCTAATAATGTTAAGTTCACTTAAATAAAACCTACACTACAAGTGCGTGCAGTATAAAAAAACTAGTAGTTTACTGAGAGTATACTTCAAGATGTAGGCTACTTTCATAAACTAAAAAAATTGCTACAAGTATTTGACTAGTAAACTATCAGTATACTATGCAATCTATAATAAAACTGATGCGTCCTATAATACAATCATCCTATACTTATTCTTTTTTTGTAAGGACAATGGTTTGCCAATCATTTTGCTGAGGCTGCATATTCTATTCGAATCTGTAGAATTACACAGAACGTTCTTTTTAGGTTTTACACTTTGCAAAATGCATGAAAAAGTTAGAAATGTTATTGTTTTGAAGTTTAAACCAATGTCCCTATTGTGTTTTTTATTATTTTAGTCCCATGAGGTGTAATGTCACTTACAGAACACTAAATAGGCTACTTTTTGTTTCACATTTCCTTCCACCGCTTATCAACTGAATCAAGCGTTTACTAGACCGTGTTTACTACACACCCCGATACAGTTCTCATTCTGTTGCAGTGTGTTAGGAGAATGTTTCCATCTGCTGGACAAAGCTAAACACTACAGCAAAGAGGGACCATGACAAAACCTTGAGACTTCTGTGTTCATGTAGAATCATTGCGATCCTATTATAGTTTTATTGTTATATTTTACGTTTTAATTAGCTATTATTCAACGCTTTATTTTTTATTATTATTAAAAAAAAAACGTTTTATTTTTTAACATGTCTATAGGCTATAGTTTATACTCAAGTTTTGGCTAGTTATTTGACTACATCAAAATAAACTAAATGAAAATGAGATGTTTCCTTGGCAAGTTTTCCTTTACATTTTTTTAAGCATATAAGCATTTATTTCAAGTAAGAAAAATGTTGGTCACACTTTAGCTAACCCTGCCTTCAAGCAAATTGACAATTACCTGTATTTTGCGGTGGGTCAGAGGTTTGCTAACATTCAAAGTGACCTGGTTTAACAGCCAACAAAAACATCACGTATGTCCGAAAATGCTGTAAATAGATCTGTGACGTTTGAAATCATGTCCTTTCCCCACACAAACACAGCAGATAAGCGGACTGTAAGAAAGCACACATGTTCCAACCTTGAACAGTTTCTGAATCTCCAGTAGGTATAAAAACAACCCACACAATCACACTTTCATAACGATCGATTCAAAGTCCACCTTTTATTGGGTCACACCGTTTCCACACCGCACTGTGTAGTTTCCCAAGGTTGCTATGCTGTAAAAATGATTAGCCAGTTAACCTAAAACTGTAATTCAAGTCAAAAAAAGGAAATAATATTACATCAGTGGAAGTCGTTTGAAGAGTTAAATCAGCTCCTTCAGCTAACGTTCTCACTTTCAAGGCACAGTTTTAGTCTAGAATAAAGAAACTTGAGCTGAACAATGTTCATGACAAAAAACATTTAGCTATAATAGACATATTCAGATGTTTAAAAACAACTATGAACTATATTGAAGTGCTGTATACCACCAATTAAAAAAATTGGGAATGTTGAATAGTATAAACACTGTAATCTCCAAGCAAATTTCAGGGTCAACGCTTAGCATTATCTGCAGACTTCTGCCAAAACTTGCATCACTAAAAACAAAACAAAACAACAGTCTCTGAGAGTTTGTGAAAAGTCAATCTTTTAATTTAAATACAATTTAAGCTGTAACATAAAAGCCGATTAAACAAGAGGTCTTACAGAACACTACTTTGTGCATTTATATATTTAGTCATATATTTTTTCAAATGTCATAAAACAAGACTGAAGATTTGTCAAAACAATGTGAAGAACCGAACCTACATGGGCCCAAAAAGATCTGGAAGAGTCCAAAATATGTTTGGGGGTCACCGTTTATTGGACTACCCGTCTAATATACGCCGGCTCTTCCAAATCTTTCATCGCTTACATTAAAACAATTGTCATAAAGTATGCCTTTTACATGTAAAAACGAAAAAAAAACAACAACACGTACTTATAAAAAAAAAAACACAGAGTGGCTCTGTTGTCGTAATATTAAACTAGTCATCGCCTCCAAGGGTTTAAAAGCCAATGGGTTACAATAGAAAATATAGCGATCTGCTTACTCGTAATAAAAATCTATCGTGTGTCTACCCATAAAGGGTTCAATAGAAGTTTCCAATGTAAAACATTCCCCATATCTGTCCGTGTAATCTGACGAAAGCCACAAAAATATGTTATAGCATCATATGATACGACAATATTCAGCATGTCTATCTTTGGTTTTCTATTCATTCAAAGACTTAGTGGTACATAAAGCAACATAGTATCAAATCTAGAGATTGCACATCTATAACCATCGAAAGGGATAATTCTGGTAACAATCTACACGGAGTAAAAAACATAAAGATATCTATTATACATGCCGTATCAAGAAGCGATTTGAAGGAAGGGCTTTTAGCACTTAGTAATATTCCTGGACTATTTTATGCAGCATATACAACAGCAAACACAAGAGTGGGCCTGAAGTCGGTGCAGTTCTGTGATTGTGAAGGAAGTCACCTTAGCAAACATGCTTCCCGCTGTACAATCTGCATCTGTCAGGTGGTTTGGAGCACATTCTGGGAAATCACTGTTCACCCCACCGGATCTGTGAAATGTGTTTCTTCTCATAGTAAATACCACACGGTACGTGAACCTGGTTTCACTTTGCAGGACTGGAAGTTCTGGAATTGACAGGGGCCGACAAATCTAAGAGTCTGAAATAAGTGCTGGAGGGATTAATACATGGGCATCTCTAAAGAGAGAAATGGCTGTGTTCTCCTCGGTCTTGGCCGAAAGAGAGTCGGTGAAGGGGAGGAAACGGAGGAGGGCAAGAGGGGGAGATGGAGGAAGAGGATCTGCCCACCAGCAGTCGTCTCTCCAGAGCTGTGGGCCACTCGATCACAGCCGCCATCTTTAGGGCTCAGGATCGCAGCTCCCTCAGAGTGAGCTTTGCTTCTGTTGGGGAGGCATACATATACATGTTAACATTTCACGTTATTTATAGTATAGATAATACACACATGCACTCAAAAGTTTGGGGATGGTGAAACGCAATGTTTTTAAAACACTAATATCATGACGTTTTCTATTGTCAAATATATTGTAATTTATTCCTGTGATGCAAAGCTGGATTTTCAGTATCAGTGTCACATGATCCTTCAGAAATCATTCTAATGTGCTGATTTACTGCTCAAGAAACATTTATTATTATCTTGTGGAAACCTTTTTTTTTCAGGATTCTTTGATGTATAGAAAGTTTTCTTTTACATTCATTTGAAAGAGAAATCTTCTGCAACATTATAAATGTTTTAACTGTCACTTTTGATGTGTCTTTTTGGAATTAAAGCATTATTATGCACGTTATCTAACCTGCTGCTGGCCATTAGGGGTCTCTTTCCTTCTTCACCTTCACATCACCTGCCAGGATGGTGGAGATCTCGCCTTGCATGAAGGCCCAGGGCACGTTGGAGCCCACGAGAGGGCACTTCTCCCCACTGGGGCAGTACACCTCGCTCCCCGAGCCCTGTCTGCGGATGAAGTCTCGGGTGCAGGGGAAGCAGAACTTGTGCCCGGGCACCGATGGACACTGGACGAAGTGTGTGTCCTCCAGGCGCTCGTGGCAGATGGTACAGCAGAGAGGGGCTCCGCCTCCGGCTCCTCCTGAGCCTTCAGCTCCCATAACAGCGCTCTGGTCCGCGAGGGGGATGGTGACGGTCGTGGTCGGCCCTCCTGAGCTACTGCCAGCCGACGGTTCCCCGTTGCGTGACGCTAGCCGCCGCTGACCGCCAGCGGGTGAAGGACTGGTGCTGTTCTGCCGGCCTGCGTTGGCGGAGTGGCTTCCGCTGCTGCCCGGAGCATCTTTCAGGGTGGCAGTGCCAACGTTGTCAGCCACACTCATGAGAGCAGTGATGGGCGAAGGGTCGCTACTGTGGGCCTCTGGAGGCTGTCCTGCGCTGGCTAGCGATGCAGCGGGCATGTGGCCGGGAATGCCAGGGTACACGAGGGACCAGTGCTGGCGGATTTCCTCTGAGGTCATCCTCTCGGTGGCTTCCGGCTCGGGCGAGGCTTTGCGTCGGCGTACTCTCGGCTGCGCGGGACGGCCGATGTGGCAGAGCGCGGTGGGCAACATGGAGCAGCTGGCGTCCAGGTACGACTGCGGGAGGGCGTCCGGGGCTGGCGCGTCTTTGAACGCCCGCACCGCGTCGCTGAGAAGCTCTGACAGGAGACGCCAGTCGCCGGTGCCATGCCTTTTCTCATACTCCACGTACTTGTAGCCCGAGTTAATGACCTTGCCAGTGTCTTTCTGAGAGTCGTGAAACATCTGCTTGACTAGCGCTAACACGCTGGAGAACACGTTACCTGACCCGCACGGGTACTCGACGAAAACCTTCAGCTCAAACTCAACCATCACCTTGGCGTCGAACGCGAACACCCTCCCCACCAGGCCGTGGTCCTTCTTAAAGCGGACATTAAACGGGGTGCAGCTAGATAGGGTGTGCAGGGCGTCGCGCATGTGTTTGGGGCGTCCGGGCCATTCGTCCGTGCGGTTCCTCACGCTTTCGGAGAGCTCGGTGAGGGCTTCAGCGTTCCTCTGCTTCTCCTTAAGCTCCCTTTCAAACTCAGGGCTCATGAAAGACGCCACACCCACGTTCATCCCCATGCCCAGGGCTTGTCTTTTACTGATCTCGTTCAACATGGGAGCAGAAATGGTCAAGGGGGCGCCACCGGTTCGGGCATTCAGACCAGGCATGGCGGTCAGCAGACCATGAGGGGCTCCGACAAGCCCCTGCGCCATTAAACTGGGTGGCACAGCCCCCACCAAAGTCCTCCTGGCAGTAGGACTCTGCCTACTAACCTCAGGCGGACCACCATCCTCCAGTCTAGGCAGCCCGTTGGGCAGCCTGCCGGACACATAATCTCCCCTTCCCCGCTCATATCGCTCGGAGGGCGGTCTACCGGTCTCCATAGGACCCTCCTTGCCAGCGGGACCGTGTTTACCGGCGGGCTGCGGACCCGGAGATCTGCCGTCCTGCATCACGTGTGTTCGCTTGAGCTGCCGCGCCGTGTCGATGAGCAACTCGATTCTGTCCGCGCCCTCGTAGTTCACACAGCCTCTGCACACGGCCTCGCTGAAGTCCCAAATCATGGCCCAGGGCATCTTTGGCAGGTCGCAAAGGTAGCACCATTGCCGCCTGGAAGATGCCTGCGAGGAAGAGGACATATTTGATAGGCCCTCGCGATCTTGCGTTCTCAAATCCACCCTGAATCCTTTTCACAGTCAGCCTCCGAGCGTCTGCGGTCGACGGTTTCCTTGTTACGGACGACTATATACAACTGCGTCGGATTTTGTGTCATTCAGAATCGAGGTGTTTGATGTTTCTGCCAAGTCGCCTGGGCCGCAGAGTTTCTCCTGGAAGACGTTCCGAAAGTTACGCAACTCTGAGCCGTTGAATTCTGGGAAGTGTAGTTTTGAACAGCTGAACGCGCGCTTCACTCGTAGTGCTTTTGCCTGAAGGAACCTCTTTATTATTTTTTTTTTTAAATAAAGCCCCAAGATATTTATGGAAGAGAAGCATCAGTCATCACATCATCTTTTTATTGTTAGGCTCACTTTATATGTAAAACAATTTATTTAATTATATTTATTGCGAAAAATAACTTGTATGTATTTATTGTATCATTATTTTCTCAATTTGTTTTTATTTATTTAGAATATATTTTTTTTATAATTTATTGTATTAGATTTATCTCGAACTACAATGACATATTGTATAGTTCGTTGTTTGGGGGTTATGGAAACATCATTGTAATGAGCATTGCTTAGTCAAATAAAAAGTTACCACTCTAGCAATATAGATAAATGTGAATAATTACAATATGTTCTTCTTGCAAAAAGATTATTCGACTGCAATTCCCAGTTTACAAATGGTTAACGTCACGTCCGCTATTCCCAATGACGTGTTTCAAAAACTTCCGGTGTTATATTACAGAAATGACGTTCCATGTTTCTGTAGTGAGCGCGGATCTTCTGTTGTTTACTGGTTTAACTATTTGATTCTGTTTATAAGATGATTTACAAACTTTTGATTTCTAAAGCATAACGGTACCATGTTTGAAACGCCTTTTTTTTTTGCATGAAAGTCGTCTAAACAAGCTTATTTTATTTTTTAGAGTTGATTAATATTTGCTGCGCGCAAACTGTATCACTTCTTTTTAAATTATAAACAGGAAATGACTGAACAGTCTATATGCAAATATACTGGTTGAATAAATAATTATACATATTATACAATACACAATAATATCCTCTCCAGGATAATAACAACATTAAAAGAAAGGCAAAAAAGGCAGTGGGCTTGTGATTTATTAAAAAAAAAAAAAACATTGTAGCTTTCTTTTTGTGCGTGAAGTTATAGTGTTGAATGTTCATTCTTATTTTGTGTTGTCTGTGGATCAAGATCCTTATATTTCTCCTCCAGAATGGCAGAAGGCGGCCGGCTTGTGTTTGTTGCTGCAGAGTTACAGTAATGCTTACACACTGTGTACAAGCCTTGCATGAGGAAGAGCACAGAGATGGTGCTGTAGTAACCTCCATATACAAGAAACTGTAAAAGAAGGGCCACAATGCAGGTTTATACAAACATTCAAACCATGCATGGTTAATCTTTTCCTCTCATGAAAATCTTTTAACCCTATAAATCCTACTGTTTTCATATTTTATACATTAATTTCTAAGGCCTCTGAATGATCAGCTTTGCTGAAAAACCTGTTCTACATGCAATCTACTACATGCCTTCTGTCGTCTGATTGATAGTTTATAGTTTTCTAGCAAGTAAAAGGTTGTGGGTCATGTGTATTTTTTGCTGTGAAATGTATAGGTCTACTGATTTTTATTAAGTAAACGTAAGAATAACTTGTATATTATTAGTAATAGGCTATTTCAAGATGATTACTGGACTGAAGAAACTTAGGTATACCTGATCAGGCATACAGCATTATTATTACATTTTTTTTTATTATAGAAAAATCATGTTAAAAAATGAGTATCAAATATGAAACATCAGGTTTTTATATTTTTTTATATTATGTCTACAGGTTCAATAAACAGTTTGTTTTCAAGGGGAAACAAATATGACTATTATTTCTTATATTAGGCTTTACAGGCACTAACAGTTCCATGTAGTGAGAGCTAATACCTGTGTTGTGATGTCCAGTCCCAGGGCTGAATTGTCCACCACAACAGCAGTAAGTATAGTTTGAAGTGTAAGAGCAACAAAAGTGTTAATGCCAAAAGTTAAAGCATAACATTCCATAGAGAGGTTAAGTGCGATCTGAAACCTTCCAAAAGGGGGAAAAGAGAAGGACGTACAAGTTAGTCAAGGAGAAAACAAACCAACTTTAGTTTTGATTTTTTAAAGTACAATCAACTCGGCTGTATAAGCAATTTCAACTTATAACAAATTATATTAAACTGACTTGTAGTATAGTAACTGGCTTAACTTATTTTGATGAGTTAAAGTATAATGTAAAAACACGTTATCAAGATATGTGTGTTAATTATATTTTTAAATGAGTTTAATTTTATATATATAAATATATATTAAACTAATTAAAAATATATAATATAATTAAGACATACATAATATATATATATATATATATATATATATATATATACACTTATTGTGTACTGACTAACTTACATTGTGATTGTGATGAGGAACATGTATGACGCTTTGAAGACAGCGTAGCCTGCGTAACACAGCCAGATATTATCAGTGAAGCCCATGAGAAAGACACACCCTGCACCGATGGCAGAGAAACCCCCCAGAGAGAGCTCGCCCCACACCCCCCACTGGACTCTGATATAACCCACGGAGAACGCTGCGGCTGCACCTGGAAGCAACAGTCACAACATCACTCACAATAATGCCAAATCTGGGAACAAAGAAGAGGCACAACGGAAGACAACAATTAAATCTGAGAAATGCATTTAGACTCATTTTTATTCTGTATGGTACTCAGCACTACTTTCTGTTGCCTTTGTTTGAATGTTCTTGTCAAGACATCAAAACTGAGAGACATTCTTTTCTGCTGCAATTAAAGTGACTAAACCCCTACTGTTGCTTAAATTATCTTCCCAACACAAACCGGGCTGCTGAATTCCTATGCAATCTGCATAACAATTAAGCGGTAGAAGGCTTCTGCTCAACGCATATGATGATTCAATGTATGGTTTGCGGATATTGCTCATGGTTTCCCAATAGTTCACACATATGAGGGAACTGCAGGGGGTTCAGTTGATGAAAAGCTAATATTTCTATCGAATGTAAAAATTAATATATATAAATATAGCTGCAGAATAAATTGAAACAAAACTAATATTTTAGCACAGCGCGATTATTAAATCAAAGGCTGTGATTTAAAGCTAGGCTCTAGGCAATGTTTTTTATAAACACTTTTTGTTATACTGGTTGAAACTCTATTCACTAACTTCTATAAGTGGTCTAAATATTGAACAATTCACATATATCTTCTGTGGAAGTCTCAGGACCAAAAAATGTTTGTCCAATTAATGCATTTGGTCCGAATGCAATGATGGGATGTCTCAGCCCGTTCTCATCCCAAGGCGTCATATACTGACGCTTTTGCCAAAGCGTCTATATCCAACGCACATGGCACCATTTAGCGTCAAAATGAGACGCAGATATATGGCGCCTCCTAGTGGTCTAACCCTAACACTACCCCAGACCTATACCTACCCATAACCGAAGTTATATGTTATATTGACGCTAAAGGGTGCCATGTGCGTCGGATGTAGACGCTTTGGCAAAAGCGTCAGTATATGACGCCTTGGGATGAGAATGCGTTGGATGTCTTACTTGCCTGAAAACCCTCTCGCACAGCCATCACACGTGCGTTCCATAAGGCTATGCAGAGTTCCTCCTGAACCAAAACAACAAGCTTATGCTGCGTTCACGCCATGTTGTAATAACCATAATTACGAGATGACAACCCGTGACGTTCTACCCGGAGCTGTTCACGTCCTCAGACTCAGATTTATGCATTTCTCTGGCAGCACTATCAATGCTGAAATGAATCTGCATCAGTCAGTTGGTGCAAGTCAAGATGTTTATGTTCATTATTATAGTAATGTTATGTGCTTTGAGACATGAGGTAATTTAACGCCGTCTCTCGTGACGCTTTGCAGACTCTGCTGTGAGAGATCATGTGTTTTGGAGGAGGCGTGGCTTTGGAGACGCTCTGAAGGGAGGGTGGGATCTAATGCTTTCAAAGCTAGCTTGCTAATGCTAGCCGTTCTGAAATTGCCTACCCTACCTTTAATTAAATAAGCATCTGTTGTGCTGCGTGTTTCAGAGTGAAGAGCAGCAATATGTTACACGTGTGCATTTTACAGTGTTTCTAGAGTTGTGCACTATAGGTTCACTTTATTTACACATTTACACAGTTTCCATTTTTTTTGTGGATAAAGAAGTTTACAGCATTTCACCAGTATTCTGACAAAATACAAATTTAAATGTTTGAAAGCAGATATTTTAATAGCCTACATAAATATTAGTATTGTAATTTGCAGTGTGAAGTAAAATAATATCGATAATTATCAAATATTCAGGAGGACTTTGATTATGTTGTAATCAAAATTATTATTCCCCCATTGCAAATCAGATTTATTGGAAAAATATACAGACTTTCAGCTGTTCAACACAATAAATGTTTATATGAATAATTTTGAGACTGCAGGAGTCACTAAAAGTTGCATTTTCAGTAGAATTTTTGGAAACCACTAGAAACATTTGTTGTGTTGAGCTATTTCAATTACTTTTGTTTGATTTGTTCACTGCAAACAGCTGAAAGTCTGTAAATTTGGCCAATAAACCTGATTTGCAATGGGGGTTGAATAATTTTGATTACAATAACAATTTTAAAATTAGAGTTAAAACAATATAATAATAATAATCTGTGCAGCCCTAAAAAAAGAAGAAGAAAGAAATACGCAGCCCACTAAAAGTGGTAAGATATTTTATATCTTATTTGATAATTGATCAACATCAGAGAACCATGACCATGCAAATGTGTCAATACATTATTGAAATATTAACTTAAAATCTCAGGGAGATCTAAAAGTTTGGGAACCTCTGGGCTATAGGCATATTCTGATATATTTACTTTAAAGATAATGGCTTTATTACATTTGATAGTGTTTATGGTAAATACAATCTTTGAGTTCAGAGTCTAATCAGAAACCCTCACTAAAGTATTCCACGAAATGCCTCACCTACAAGTGTGCAGACGGCCTCCACTCCCCCGTTATACACAGAGGCAGTGCTGGAGGGCTCAATGTGGTCCCACATCAGCTGGACGTAGTTGAAGACCTGTCCATATCCAGCGGTGGCCAGAGCCCACCAGAGGGACCACTGCACCACACTTCTGGAGGAGTAGGTTTCTTTGAGACTCTTCCACATTTGTTTTCCGGAAGTTTTAATAATGTTTCCCCAAGCACAGCATCTTCCTGTAGCCTCCTTTGCTAAATCCGTTCCTCCAACCTCGTTCAGTGTCTCCGTAGACACATCCACCTTCTTCTTAAAAAACATTCCATTTTGAGGCATTGGCAGGACCAAAGAAACACAGAAAGCCACTGCCATTAGACCTAGAGTTATAGTGTTTATATGGAAGTAGCTTGTGCCAGCTAATGATATTAACAGCTGGCCTAATGTGGCTCCAAAGGTATAGCCAGTCAACATGGCGCTGCGGACGTACCCCGTGGCTCGTTGGTAGCGCTCAGGAGGTATGACGCTGTAGATATATGAAAAATAGGCCACTTCGGTGGAGGTGACCATTGCAAAGTTGAACTGTAGGTAGGTCAGAGCGGTCAAGCTGTTAGCAAAACACAGAAGTATATAATTTATGACAAGAAAAAGGCCTTGAACTACAATTAAAGGTTTGTATCTAAGCAAATCTGTCAGTAGGAAGACTGGGCAGAGCACTGCCAGATATGAGTATGTCCAGATAGGAAACAGGTAGTTTGTTACCTAGATGAGAGGAAAGAAGATAGTTTTTTGGTCATTTGAGTTAAATTACGTAACAGACATTATTAAGATAAAACTGCACTTGTATGAGTGAGGCATAGTCATAAATGCAATAATCATACTGTTTTAGCTTAATTTCGAGCTGCTGATATTTTTAATAGATGATTATTGTGATTATTACGCCATATCTGAAAATGGTTTGGGCAAGGAAATCTGTTTTTAAGAGCCCCTATACATCAACCTTACAAAATCCAATCAATACAGTCATCCTTCATCATTTCTATTGTACTGGGAGTGTTTGCAATACTAAATTGGAAATTGAGCTGTGTGTGTTTGTTTCTCACTGTTCACTGTTAAAAAAAAAAAATCCTTGAGAATGTCCTAGCAAAAAATGATACCTTTTCTGTTAAGTTTACTGACCCTCAACCCTATAGCACAATGCAATGCGTAATTTGAAATGTGAGTGAAACGACTGTGATAAATCAATGTGGAAAATTCCTTCATATTAATTAACACAATATTGGCCCATACTTTACAGTCTATTGTGATATGTCTGAGCCCTTAAACAATCTCTAAGCCAATAAAAAAATTTAAACAAATCAATCCTCACCACTTCCTCTGAGATGTTTTTGGGTCCCACTAAGTAAGGTGTAAGGAAAGGCTCTGCCGGTCTGCAGTTGGCAAAGAAACCATAAAGAGAGAGTAAAGCAGTCGGGAAGACCCAGTCTGACCTCTTCATTTTCCTCCAGAAATTCATTCTTATCTCCCTGTGTTCACTGCCACAAGATTATGTCTCTCCTTTTAGGTCTAGGAACGGTTGGTTTGTGTTTTTGCTGTGCAGTGTAAAGCCAGCCAAGTCCAGTCCCTGAATCCCACGAAAAGATCCTGTGCAATGCTGGTAACTGAACATATTTATGATGGAGACTTTGATCTGTGCTTCTACGCCCTAATTGTTGGTGTGTGAACATAGTGTGTGTGTGTGTTGACAAAACAAAGCGTTGATGACTTAACATTGTAATCATTTAACCAATACTAATGATTTATCATTGTTATCATTTAACCATAATATCCGATTCAATTCAATATAGGCCTATATTAGCCTATACATTGCAGAAAAAACATGTTTCAAATAAATAATAATACAATAAAATACAGGTAGGCTATATGACCAGGTTTTAGTAGCTTAGTAAGATTCAGGAAAATTCATAGATTAGGCAATTGAGTCATCTGCAGTGTGTCAATAATTATGTAGGCTAATATTTTCAGTATTCCATTACTATGAGTTGGAAAACGTAAAATGATAAGATTTTTTCCCCCACCCCTGATATCATAAGTAAATGTAATTATTTTACGTGGTGTTTATATCGTATTCTTATTTATTTATTTTTATTAATGCTCGAATAACACAGGTACAGATAGAAACGAATCATCACCAGACCTTGAGCATGCGCAGTACGCAGCACATGTGTCTCGTCACCATAGTAACGGTGTGTTGACAGCACCGTCTTCAGTGGCGCGATGAGACTGAAACGGCTACACATACGATACTACCCACCAGGTAATATACACGTTTAAAGTTTTATATTGCATACCATTCCCGTCATACAGTTTTGTTGAGTACCTGGTTAATTGAAGAGCTCGCATTTACAAAAGAAAGCTTGTTTTGTTGCTGTGCAGGAATATTCCTCGACTATGAGAAAGGGGGGAAGCTAAGGACGAAATCCATCGATCTGTTAAACTTGACTCCAGAGTAAGTATGATTATCAAACTAGTTGTGATAACACATTTCAATACTAAAAAATACAACTGTTCATTGTTATTTTATGTTTGCTCAGGTCAATTAAATAATATTAATAGAGAAGCCTACAAGTTTTTTGTTTTTGTTGAAATTAACATTATCTACGATTAATAAATGCTTTAGAATTACTAATGTAAGTTACTAATGTAGTTAAAAATTGGAACCTACCAATGTTTATTATTGTTTATGTTTACTAATGTTAACAAAGATGTTTAAATACTCTAACAAAGTAACATTAACATGACCTTATTGTAAGTGTTACCAGTATAACTGACTTTATGTGCTAAAGAAGTGTGTATTTTCCCTTCTGTAGGACTGATGTGAATGAGCTGCTGTCAGACATTCGAGCCGCAGAGCCTCTCATCACCTCATCCTGTGTTGAGCAGGTGAAAGTCCTGCTCTGCAAACTACAGGAGAAAGTCGGCCAAAAGGATGAACGCAAGTTCTACCTTTTCAGGGTACTAATAAATACTGACCAGTCATGCTCCAACATATTTAGGCCAAGCATATTCGATCTACTTTAGATATTGTGATTCCAGGCCCGGCTCCAGCTTTGAGATGCAGGGTGGGCCGAGGGATGTTCCTGGTGGGCCGGAGGTGTTCCGTTAACTAGATGCATTACTGTTTGAAGATTGTTTTGCTAGATTTTACTATTTTATTTTTATGACAAAAGGGGGCAGGTTTTGAAAGGGACTATTAATAACACTGCTATTACTTTTTTGGTTACACTTTATTTTAGTGTAATTATAAATTTAAGTTCCGAGTAGATTGAATTAACTACATGTACTATAGGGTTAGGGAAGGATGGGGGTTTGCTTTAGTGTTAGTTGCATGTAATCATGCCTAATTTATGGTTATTACCAAGTATACTAACTGTAAAATAAAGTGTTATCCTATTTTTAGAAGCACAAATTATAATTTTATGCTTCTGTTTAGCTTCCTGCTCGTTTTTAGAAAATTTGGTGATTCATTTTTCTTCAATTAATTAACTAAAGGGGTAGTTCGGTCAATAATTACTCTCCCTCATGTCGTTCCAAACCCGTAAGACTATCGATCATCTTCAGAACACAAATTAAGATCTTTTTGATGAAATCTAAATCTGAATTTAGGCTTTTATTTACATATAAATATTCCAAATAAACATATAAACTTCTGTTTATGTTCACTGATTCATGTTTATATGTGAATAAAAGCCTAAAATAAATCTGTTCATCATATAAAGCGATCGTGTCTCTTCAGAAAATTTGGACTAAACTGCTCAATTCATATGGATTAGTTTTATGATCTCTTTATGAACTTTTTGAAGCGTCAGAAAGATTTTGAAGGAACAGAAAGCTCTCAGATTTCATCAAAATGATCTTCATTTGTGTTCCGAAGATGAACGAAAGTCTTACGGTGTTTGGAACGACATGAGGGAGAGTAATTAATGAGAAGGATTTTCATTTTTGGATGGACTACTGTATCCCTTTAATCTTCAAAATTAAATGTCATAAATGTCAACTATTACTATTATTAATTTATGGAATATTAAGTTATTTCATATCAGTTGGGGAATACAACGGTTAAAGAACATAAATTAAAAACATTTATTATTAATACATTTATTAAATTTTGTGTGCAGAATGTAATGAAAGAAACGGAACAAACTTTTTTTATTATAATTTTAGCTGATTTTTCATTAAATTTCATTCCAGTAATTTAACCGCTTATTTAGCGTTATCCAGCTTGTTATCTGATAGCATGAAAAAAAATGATCAGGATGAAATGATCAGGTAGTTTTCCACCTTGTTTATCTGATTTCATGAATTGAACATCGCACCAAATTTTGTAATAGGTTATTATTTGGTGTTGGGCCTTTGGTGATTACATACCACCTCATACCTCATGCTTATTTGAATGATTATCTGAAGACATTTGCTCTGATCAAGACCTCTTATATCGATATTACCCACAAGATGGCAGCAGAGGGAAAACTGCTGTTTTTGTAGATCAAAGGCATAGTAATTATGTTTGGAAATTACACTGTCAAGCTTATATATCTGAAATGAATTAATGTGGTTAAGTGCTCCCCCCCCCCCAAGCATTCGTCTTCTCTGTTTTCGTCTACAGGCACTTCAGGCTCACATTTTGCCCCTGACGAATGTAGCCTTCAATAAATCAGGATCGAGGTGAGTTTATCAGCTGTGCTCACATGCCTGCCCCCCCTCTCTCCCTCTAATTCTGCCTCTCTCCCTCACTTTCCGTCTGTTTGCAGTTTTATAACCGGAAGCTATGACAGGACTTGTAAAATATGGGACACCGCATCCGGAGAGGAGCTGCACACTTTGGAGGGTCACAGGAACGTTGTGTATGCCATCGCCTTCAACAACCCTTATGGGTAACAGCACCGCTGTGTCGCATTTGATCATGGCTTACTCTTAATCTCTTTTTTTTCTCTCTGTGAAGTAGAGAATAGCCCTCTCAGTCTCTTTCTGCAGGGTTAGGGCACTGCAGGGTAACTGGTGTTGTTTTTACAATGGGACCATTTGTCACCTTGAGTCATAACAGGAGCCCTTTTCCTTTTTTCTCTCTTGCTCTCTGTCCCCTTTCTCACTCGCTCTCTCTTTTCTCTCTCTCAGAGACAGGGTTGCCACAGGCTCCTTTGACAAGACCTGCAAATTGTGGAGTGCTGAAACGGGGAAGTGTTTCTACACATTTAGAGGGCACACCGCAGAAATCGTACGTCTGCATTCTCACTTCCCTCTGCCTAAAACCCAACATCGCTGTTTTCCTGCATTCACACTAGTCTCAGCAGTTTGGAGAACACTTCACCTAAAAATGATCATTCTGTCATCATTTACTCATCCTCGTGTTGTTCCAAACCTGTATGACTTTCTTTCTTCCAGAGATATTTTAACATCAAACCTGGCACGACGTGTCTTGATAGATTTCAATGTATGTGAACTTAAAGAAGATTTAAACCATTTAATTGTCTTTCTCCAACAAAGGCTTTGGAGGAATATAGGAATATAGCGTACAAGTTATATCAGGTATTTTTATGATGCTTTTATGTTTTTTTGCTGAATGTTGGCAACTAAGCATGTTCTGTTCCCATTAACTTCCATTGTATTTTTTTGTCCATAAAGTGGAAGTCAATGGGAACCAAAACTGTTTGGTGACCCACATTGTTTAAAAAACTCCACAGAAGAAAGAAAGTGGAATGACATGAGAGTGAGTAAATGATGAGATTTTCTTCTTCTTATTTTTTTTTTTTAAGTAGGACAGGACACCTAACACCACAACTTTAGGGGGCCTAAACTGCATGGGTTCCAAAAGACAACAGTGTAAATGGAAAGTTATGAGACTAAAGTGGACCAAAATAAGATCCAATCCACTTTTAAGGTCAAATGCAAAGAGCATGTTTATTTTATATATTTTAACTGAACAAATTAAAATGGCTGGTGAAATTGGTCGAGGCCTTTCAATCCATTAGACAACATATCCGACTATCTATCTAGGGTGATCCCCAATTTAAGTATGTTGAACAAACTGTGTCGAGGGTTTTGACTTGGGATGCCAGACGTTGCAGAACCCTGTGTACGTATATTATGCTTTTGGAATTGATCAAACACCACTTGTTCGATAAATCAGAAATACTTTCTCTAATTTTGTGTGTGTGTCAACTATTAGGTGTGCCTGGCCTTTAACCCTCAGAGTACCCTGGTTGCTACGGGCAGCATGGACACCACGGCTAAATTATGGGATGTTGGGAACGGGGAAGAGGTGTCCACATTGGCTGTACGTATCATCCTCTTGTTTTTCTGTATTGTTCATCTTACAAGTTGCCGCCTATCCTCCTTCATCATTTCCCCCTCATCTGCTCTTCTCCTAAGGGATTTTTAATCATTTCTCTTTAATTCGCAGTGATCTCCAGCAATCAGTGAAAACTCACCCATGCGTATGTTTATTAATTAATTTGTCATCAAATCTTACATTACGGGTATTTGTGGGATTCTTCAAGCATTCCACATTGTTTAGTCGCACAGCAGCGTAACGTGCACACACAGTGCAAACAGATGCGTCACGCGACGCGCGTCGCTCTGAACCGAAGCTGTGTAGAAACATGTGGATGTAGGGATGAGACGGAGCGTTTGGAGGTCTTTTCCTCTCCGCAGCACATGGCAGAGCAGTGTGTGTGCGTGTGTGTGTGCTGTGTAATTACCCCTCTTAACTCTCCAATTATTTCTCTATGAATCTAAATTATGAATAGCTCCCGTGAGTTCTTACCGATGAATTGGGGAAATTAATATAATATTTCTTTGCTGAAGTGAAAAAGGGTGCCTTTTCTATTCCTCTCTCCACTCACAGCATTTCTCTTTCTCAGGGTCACTTCGCCGAGATCATCTCTCTCTCCTTCAACACAACGGGCGATCGGTTGGTCACAGGGTCGTTTGACCACACTGCCATTCTGTGGGACGTTCCGTCTGGCGGGTCAGTGTGTACACCACAGTTCATGTTTAACGCTTTAACCTCTTTTCAGACAGCATAATGGCATTTTTTTTATTTTGTCTGTCTCTCCCAGGAAAGTTCATGTTCTCACAGGTCACCGTGGAGAGATCAGTTGTGTTCAGTTCAACTGGGACTGTTCCCTCATCGTCACGGCCTCTCTGGATAAAACATGCAAGGTTTCTGTTTCTCTTCACTCTAAGTCTGTAAAAGAGCCTCTTAAATTAAGTTTTAGTTTTTAATTCTTTATTTAGTTTTTCCCTTTCCAATGTTTGACGGCTGCCTCAAAAGCAGCTTGATACCAAGATGCTAAATCAAATGAATTTGGTTGTTATTAGCTTGTTTTTATATATTTATGTAGCAAGGTTTCTGACAATTGAAAACACAACAATTCTGGAACAAGACGTGTGCCTTTTTGAGTTTTGAGTTCTGAAACTATGTTTACACGACCACAACTTTCATTTCAATAGATAAAGGAAAATTCTATTTTTCATGATGTGACCTCTTTTTCTTTTCCTTTTTCTGTCTGTGTAACTCTCTCGCTCTGATTGCCTGTCCTAGAAGTGTGAGGGCTCTTAATTATTCAGCACAGTCTGATTTTTCTGAAAAATAGTGAGACAAAATCCTCCTCATTTATACACAGTTTTGCAGAGTTTTAAAAGTGTCAGTTAAATTGGTGTGTCTGTAGTTTATGGGAACCAACCTATTACGCCCCTTTTCAAAGTCTTGATTTGTTTTTGGTCTCTACTAGAATAGGTTTTCATGCTTGAATGTTCAAAAAAACATTATTTTCACATATTTTACATTATTGCAGCTCCTCTCTTCCCAGTCTGTCAGTAACATTTAGTTCCTGCCTCTGTGAAGCCCCTCCTGAAAAGCACGATGTGCTCTGATTGGTCGGCTGGACCAGTGTGTTGTGATTGGTCAACCTCTTTGAGTGTGTTTCGGAAAAATCACACTCCTTACCATAACTGCGAGTTTCAACACACTTCTATCTAACTCAACCAGGCCTAGCCCCTTTATTTAGCGTATGCCTTGGGCGGGAATTATTTAAATGAAGAATATTGTGATGTGTTCGTTCCCGAAAGAAAACTTAAAACTACAATGGAGGTGTTTCAGGGAGTTCAGAAACAGTGCGCACTGATATAGAGAATAACTCTCTTTGGAGTGACTTTGTAAATTTTCAGACCTTTTTCATGCTTACACAGCAACATTACACACTTAAGAAAGATGAACATGTAACAAAGCATAACAGGACCCCTTTAAATAATAGCATTGAGATGTCTGTATGTATATGTCGGTGTCAAATTAAGAGAATGTGCAGATTCCATTGACGGGAACTATGGGTGGGACACACACTACACCCTTCACAATACTCACACTTGATGAGTGAGCAGGGCAAAGCGATGCCCACTTTCTTATGGAATTCACCCAAACGAGTATACAGTGTGTTTGTGAGGCTATTTTGGTCATCATGTGGTTTTAGTGTGTTATATAACAGATTCTGTGTGTGTTTGTGTGTGTAGGTGTGGGACGCAGACAACGGTCAGTGTTTGGCTACTCTCTTAGGTCATAACGATGAGGTGTTGGATGTGTGTTTTAACTACACTGGTCAATTGATCGCTACGGCCTCTGCTGATGGTGAGACATCTCCATCTCCACACATCACAACCTGATTCAGTCTCACAAAACTCGCCTAGAATATGTGAAAAATATATATATGTTACTCTAAAATGAAAAGTAATTAAGTAATGAGAACTACTTTTTCTGGGAATGTGTACACAAAACATCTTAATGGGCCCTTAACAAGTCTTTATTTTCTTTAGACAAAATATATGGGGATTGTGGGGTAAGATGTGTCAGCAAGTAAACTGTGGCACCCCATAATTTGTGATGTGACCATAATTATAAAAAAGGCTCATTAAATATACAGGTTAATACAAATTAATGCAGAAATACTATTACCAATACTGTTAATATTATGAATAATTTTTATAGTTTCACTATATTCAATGGCTTATTTTTCTGGCTGTTTATGAAAAAGTCTGTTTATCGGTTTTTAGGTTAATTTACAATGTAAATCATTCATGTATTACCATATAATTCAACTTACCACTTACATGACACAGTTTACCCCTAATTTGGGGTAAGTTGTGTCACTGGGCTATTTTGTTTGAGATGTTTCCATGGCTGTGTTATAGACGCTTTGTTCTCATTTCAGGCGACAGCAGAAATACTGAAATATAATTAGGAGTATTTATTTTACCCTTCTCTTCACCTAGAGGACACCCTATTGTGTGTACATTTGAGCGTAACGGATTATTAAAGATAATCCGATTTTGTGAGCTGGGCATGTTTTCGTGACATTCACACATAACTGCTGTGGTGTTTGCGTGCAGGTACATCAAGAGTGTTCAGCGCTGTAACGTTCCAGAGTTTGTGTCAATTAGAGGGTCATAATGGAGAGATATCAAAGGTAAGAAATCCCATCATCTCCATCCTCACCCTGTCACTCGAGCTTCGGACTCAATAATCCTCTCTGCTTTTCGCAAATCTCTTCACTCAGTCTCTTTCTTCATCTGCAAAGGCACTCATTTCCTTCCATTCCTGTTATTTCCTGTCTAGGTCTCTTCCTGTTTATATCCACCTGTTCTGCCCTCTTGCCTTCATCCCCGCATCCTGCCTGTCGTTCGTCATCTTCTCAGCATATTCATACGACCGCTTGCTTTCTTATTGCTCTCTCTTGATCTGTCTGCTCTTCTTTTCTTTGGCCTATCCCTAAACGATCTTGCCGTAATATCCGTGCTCCTTTCTTTTCCATCCCCCCTCCCGACCGTCATCATCATCACCAGAATATTTCCATTTCCTGTGCAAAGGTGATAACTCAAGTACGCACATACACACTTGCTCTGTCATATCAACACAGGTCAAATTAAGTTCAGCTGTCTTTCTTTCCGACTGACACTTTCTTCCTCCTCATGTTTTTCTCCTGCACGTTGAAATAGGATGTTCTCACATGCAAAACAAAAAGTAATTGTTTCATGATGGAATATGATAAAGAGCCGTCCTGATGCATTATCATAACAAAAGGAGACTGAATAATATAGAAATATAATTTGCTTCTTATTTTCTCCCTCTCCGTAGGTGTGTTTTAATCCGCAGGGGAGCCGTGTTTTGACGGCGAGCGTGGATAAGACGGCTCGCGTGTGGTGCGTGAACACAGGAGTGTGTTTGCAGGTGCTGGAGGGACATTCTGATGAGATCTTCTCCTGCGCTTTCAACTATGAGGGAGACACCATCATTACAGGCAATTACACGCACCTGCGTAGGACTCATGCATGCACAAAAGTAGTCATACGTCAGTAATTTCAAGCCTTGCTGTCAATCTTTCCACAGGCAGTAAAGACAACACCTGCAGGATCTGGCACTGAGATTCTTACAGTATTCTTTCCTACACCTCTTTGGATTAAGATATTGTGTGCCATCTTGTCACACTACCATAGTATTTCTATTCACGGAAAACTAGTAGTATGTTGAGGATATTTTTGCTGTTATATTTTCCCTCTCTTAAAGAATATTCTGGGTTAAATACAAGTTAAACCCATTTGTGGTATGCTATTTCGGAGCCCCTAAAGAGACATGGTGGTGGAAACATTTGTACGGGAGAAAAAAATACTTTTTAAATCGTTTGCGTTCTCTCGCAAAACCTGTTATGAGCTCGGACAAACACTTCCTGTCTAATGTCCCGCTGGTAGTGTTTCAGAGCTCCGTACGTTAACAATGGAGCGTTTCATAGTGTTTGAACTTGGACTCAAATATAAAGAAATGCGGCCAGTGCTTAACTCAAGGAGTTCAGTGAAGTTGGCAATATATTCACAGATTCGAACTTCACCTATATCCAATCATAGTAACGTAGACAACAAGCTACAACCCAGTTTTCCTCACAACAAGCTTTATAATAATATAAATTGGTCTCTATGAGCAGGCGGCTGAGAGACAGTCTGAAGGGAAAGTCTGCAAAGTGCAAAACCCACATTTTATATTAGGGAAAATATTCAGTGTTATACAGTGTAATGCCATCAAATTCAGTAAGCAATCATCATGCAAAAGCTATGGTTGTAACAAGTATGTTGGCTGGGTATCAACACCATTTGTGTAAAGAATAGACCTACTTATTTTGTATGTGCTATTACTTGCCAAACTAAGTGTTGAAGTATGACCAGTAGGAGACCATTGATGTGTAAACTGAATTTGGTGAGGTGACACTATAGTGTGTAATATTGAAGTTAATTACTATTTTTGTAGAAACGCTTTTCGGGATTTCGCACTTTGCAGACGGTCCCTTCGGACTTGTCTCTCAGCCGCCTGCTCATAGAGATCCATGTATATTATAAAGCTGGATTGTAGCTCCTTGTCTACGTTACTATGATTGGAAATAGGTGTCATTTGTGTTTTAACAACGTTGAGCTCATCCGGGAATCTGTGAATATATTGCCAACTTCGCACTGACAGCATTTCTTTATATTTGAGTCTAAGTTCAAACACTACGAAACGTCACAATGTCTGAAACACTACCAGCAAGTGTTTGTCCGAGCTCACAACAGGTTTTGCGAGAGAACGCAAACATCTGTGCGAGGGAATGCAAAGTTTCTCTGGGGAACACAAAAGTTTTGCGAGAGAACACAAACATATTTTTTTCTCCCATTCCAATTGTTTCCCACCACCATGTCCCTTTAGGGGCTCCGTATGCTATGGACCCCATGCGTGGATACATTGTGGCCACAATTCATTCCCTAGTTTTATTAATTAGTTTCCCCGTTGTATTTAAATCGGGGCCACAAATTAAGAATTTGTTCCCTCGTTTTACTATATCATGGCCACTTTGTAGTAATGCGTTCTCTTGTTGTATAGTTCAAATTATCAAATTCTTAATTCGTGGGAGCTAATTCTTATTCGTGTCCATGATATATAGGCATATATGTTTGTCTGCATGCTGTCATTCTTTTTCAACTCATGCCTTTTTGTTAAAAATGCTCACAGAAATGCTCTATGGAGAATCTTTTGCTCTATAGACTTTCAGTGTAAGTGCATACTTGTCAACATAATATTAAGTCAGTTATTCAATTTTAAGACTTGCTATATTAAATTGAAATGATTTTCTGGTGTATTTAACCTGGAATATCTTCTCTTTAGCATGCAAGTCTATTTTTGAGTTTGTGTATGTATGGACTTTATTCACAAACGTGTGGCTCTTCTCAAATAAAGACCGTTGACGTCAAACTCACTCTACGCAAATTTTATTTTGAAAAGATAAATACATTCAGGTATACCGTGACAGACTGGATACAGTTGTGTGCCTTCAACGCTGATATTAAAACACATTACTATTATGTTACTATGCGGAGAAAACCATAATGCCACCAGATTTCACATTTACACGTCAACTTTTACGTGACAAAACTGTACTTACACTTTAAATATACTCTTTTATGTTTATACTCAAATGTTTACAGTAGTCTGCGGAGACTTTTGGTGCTGTAATCCCGTCTGTCTGCCTGTCTTTGCAATCGTAAAACCGAAAACTTAAATTTCCATTTGCAGCCCGAAGGTACAATAGCTCACAATCTAGACTATTTACATCTAGCCAAAATAAAATCTCTTAAATAACAGTAGTCACATAAAACTAAACATAGAATTCAGTCTCAGAGGTACAATAAAAGGACTGAACGTGTTCGCCAATGAAAACTTAAAACAACAAAGTATGTTTGGAATGGGATCTCACTATATTTCACTTTAAATACAAACATTTAAATATTTTTAAATCCCTTTGCCAGAGCTCGCATGTCTATTTTTTCTTGATAAAAAGTCACGTTGTGCATTTGAAACGGGTTTGTCGTACAGTAAAAATCTGCAAGCTACAAAACGTCAAGGCTGATTGGTTGGTTTAAACTGTGTTCCTCTAACCAGCGCTGGCCGGTAACCGGTGGATCTAACTTTGCGTGCGCGTAAAGACAGGAACATGCTTAATTTAAAGGGAAAAATCCTCAAATCACAATCTATGTGATGTGCGAATGAGCATCTCTAGCACATATTTATGGACAAGGCATTTTCTTCCTACAGTATATCCCAGAATTCCTGTTATCTAGCAAGGACATATACAAGTGTGACAGGGATGGAGGTATCGGAATACAAGTTTGTGTCGGCTGTAAGATGTGAATCTTAATGTGGGATGTGCTGGTGATTAGAGCTGGCAAGTTCGGTACTTAGGAAGCCTCATGCTAAGAATTGTGGGATTGAGAGCCATGAATGTGTGTGGGCATCTTGTAAACCTTGCTAACTTGTGATAAACAGAGAGTTTCACAGCTGAGCTCTAGAAAAATGTTCTGATGTACAGTCATGACGGTGGTTTTGGATTGGTCTGTTGAATCGAAGAGGCATATTTTTTTAGTTGAAAGAATTTGGTGGTGGTGAGGGTGTGTTGGCGGCTCAAATGGGATGTTTGTCGGTGTTTTCACACTGGCTCCAGACTATACACGTGTATATGTGGCGTCTCCAGCTTCTGGTCTGTAGATGGGTGGCGCTCTAGCGCTTGGTCTTCAATATCCAGTCAAACAGGCTGGGCACTGGCCGTCCTCTCTGCTCCAGGTCCTGGTGGAGCTGACAGAACTGAGCCACAGCGCTGAACAAGTCACCAACACGCCAAGCCTTCTGACCTGCCAACTGCACCACTCTGTGGAACTGAGAAACAAACACACGCTGTTCAGTTCTTCATGCAGACGACTGCTGAGACATCAACAGTCGTTGCAGTTAGGGGCTATTCACATAGAACACATTTGTGCATTCCACTGCACTACTTTTCCATTGTTTTTCTATGTAAACAGGCTTGTGTTTGACTGTTGCGCTTGTGAGTTGCATCTTTTGCAGCGTCTCGTACCATGAGAGCAGCAGGCGTAATGATATGACGCAGCGCCTGAAAATAGTTCTGTTGTGTTGACGGAAGGTAGCCTATTTTCAGGCGCTGCGTCATATCATTACGCCTGCTGCACTCATGGTACGGCAGTAAAGTTTCTTGATTATTACGCAGGAATGAGAGTATAGTTCCTAGCCATATCAGCCTAGAAAATCGCAACTTTACATTTTCAGTCGGTCTTAGTGCACGATGTAACTACAGAAGAGTCAAGTTTTAAATAGGAAAAATATCGAAACACTTTGGTCATTTTTTTTTTTTAGAAATGCTAATGGTCTTGTCCACTTCAATGATGTATGCTAAGCTATGCTAAAAGTGGTACCGCCAGAACCGGAGATCGGCTGAATGGATTCAAAAACGGTAAAACTCAACAGTTTAACTCTGGGGGAGTTGTAAAATGAGCCTATTTCCAAAAAAAGTGGATTATCCCTTTAACAGCAAGAAACGCGTTCTGTGTGAACTGGCCCTCTTTTGTAATCAACTTTTTATTCAGTTTTAAAGTATACGTATCAGTTTTGTCATTCAACATACATGTGACAATAACATACATTACATAATTGCCAAAGCCTAGCAGAAAAAAAAAAAAAAAAAAAAAAAAAAAAAAAGCTTGGGAATCTTATGTAGCTTCTGAAGGGAAGTGTTAAATTAAATATTTAAAGAAAAAAATAAAAATCCAATCTCGTCCTGTTCAAAAGTTTACGAAGCATTTACATTAGCGTATTCAGGACATTACTAAATAAAAAATAACAAGCAATTTTTAGAATCCCTCTTAAAATGATTATCTTACTGCACACTCTGCAAGGGATACACACACTGATGAGCAAAAACATTATGACCAGTCACAAATGAAGTGAATATCGTTGATCATCTCCAAACAAGGTCACATATCAATGTCTGGGTTGATTAGATGGTGAGCAAACAATCAGTTCTCATAATCAACGTGTTGAATGCAGGAATAAAGATCTGAGCGACTTTCACAAGGGCCAGATTGTTATGGCAAGGCGACTGGGTCAGAGTATCTCTGAAACGGTCGGCAAGGCTTGTGTGTTGCTCCCATAGACTGTGAAAAAAGATTGACGACGCACCTTCACTCTCTTCCGTTGTAGAAAAGTGAAGCCGCCAATGTCCCAATGAAATAAACAGCTATGGAAATGTAGAAATTAAAGTTAAAGCTCCTGAAGATCCCGAAAAAAGTCTGTTGTTGTCTCAGTGACTACATCATTCAGAGAAGCTGTCAATCACAGCTGTCAATCATGACGTCACACCCCCGTTTTTATAGCATCATTTATAGCAAACTTATTTAAAAAAACTAGCACTTGAACTTACATCAGCGTGATAAAAACTACCTAAAATTACAGAAACCATCTTTGGAAAAAAAGTGTAATTCGATTGTTTAGTTACTTCAGTTGGTCTCGCGTCCCATTAGATTACATGGAGAGGGCAGGGTTTATGACCTATACTGGG